TTCCTTGTTTCATTCTTTGCAATAGTAAGCACAATTCTTCTGTCGCTATTACCAGAGTTTTATTTAATGTGATGTATCTCCACTGACATGGAAAGAAATACTTTGGACCCAGACTGAGAGGAAGATAGGGCTAATGTTGATTGTGGTGCCAGAAAAATGCATCACAGGGAAGCTCCTTGTCTCAGGTGGACACATAAGAAATGTTGACTGAATTCTGCAGGAGTGGTGCAGATACAAATGGGGACACGACATGAAGAACAATCCCAAAAGCTCTAGTGTCAGTCTTGCAACTGGTCAAGGCAGCAATCTTCAAAGTTGGTACTGTGCAAAGATAGAACAAGTGGCAATGGCTTTAAGCTAAAAGACGGTAGGTTTAGGTTAGATATTAGAAAAAATACTTACTCTGTGAGGGTGGTGAAGCACTGGAACGGGCTGCCCAGAGAAGCTGTGGATGCCCCCATCCCTGGTGTTCAAGGCAGGTTTAATGGGACTTTGAGCAACTTGGCCTAGTGTAAGGTGTCCTGGCCCATGGCAGGGGAGTTGGAATGAGATGATCCCTTTCAACCCAAACCACTCTATGATTCTACCACATTGCTGCTCTATGTTTCTAATTGCAGTAATTTCCCTTTGCCATCCACTACTCTGCACATTGTACAGAAATACGGGTTCTGCATGTAAACATTACTGATGTTTCACACTGTCTACCTGACTTCCAGGGTCACTTCAATTCAGCAGGCAAATCACTCCAAAGTAGGTGTGCTAATGTGAGCCTTTATTTATTAGTACTATAAGGCCCTGTGAGATAGGGAAGAACGTTGAAGCACAGAAAATAAAGGTCCTACTTAAAGAAAGAGCTCCTACATCCAGTTTAACATAGAGGCTTTCCCCACATTTGCCAGACTCCAGGAGAAGCTTCTCTGTGCTCAGACAAAGACTCACAAACTGCTGATGGAGATGCCTACAGTGAAAGTGGAAGATGCTCTGCCCTTTGCAAGGCTCCTAAAAGAGCAGAGAAGAATTGATCCTGTAAGTTCTCATTTTAGCTTTAGCCTGCTGTACCACTTATGACCAATGTATGTCTGTTATGACATATTATGGTCAAAAAAGTAACCAATCAAGACACCCAGAGAAGCTTATCTCTGCTCTCCCTACTGAAATAACGGCAGATGCAGACACTAAGGTAGTAGATTTTAAACTGGTGTATTTCTGTCTTTTAGCTTCTGTTGCATGATCACAGAGTAAATCCTAATTTCTGCTGATGCTACTGATTGTCTTAAGTTCACCTTCATAAGCTAAAAAAAAATAATTACTTAAATAAAGCATTATGGACTTGGTAAAACTTTAAAAAACTCATGCCTAGCAATTAGTAATAATAAAGTTCTTGGTGCTGAAGTCTACCTTTTTTTTTGAAACTGAGAAATGGGGAAAACCCCGCAACACCAGCACAAATTGCAGTTTTCCTTTGCCATTTAAAACAAAAAAACCCACAACAGTATCCTCCTTTTACATGCATGATTCTCAAGCAGCCATGCCATGAAACACACGGTCAACTTATTTGTCTACACACACAGCAAAGCTGCTCTATCCTGCACCAAATGACACATTAAATTTGTTCACTGTTTAACAAGGAAAACTCATAATGTTGCTGTTAATGATTTACATAGGGACAAAACAGCTCTGCCTAAATTTTGTTAAAAATTGTGAAGCTGCGGTCATTTTAACCTCTCTTTCATAACCGCAAGCTAACCCAATCAATAAGCTGGAACCACATATAGCATTTCTTCTGCCATGAAAGGAAGGTATTTCTGTCACAACAGCCTTAACAGCCGGAGGTCCCCAGGCACACTCCACAGAGGCAGCTCACGTCTGGATTAACATGGGAACCAAAAAGGACAGACAAAGCTGTCCTCTTGCCACACTTGCCTGACCCTAGCAGATTTCGTCATTGAGCAAGTAAAATCTGATTAGAGCCCAAATATCCACTGATATCCAATATGGATGTTAGCAACTCAGGGAATTATGAACCATTCAGTGAAGCTCCCTGTAACAGCACTGACACATCCAGGCTGGGAACCTCTGACTTGCAAGAAAAGGTAACAAGTATTTCTAGGCTGAAATTCAGAGCTCAGATAAAACAGACAGGCAGTCCCCCCTTGGTGCACATGACAGTGCTGGCCATCAACTTCCACAGGAGCAGATTAGCACCCACACATTTTGTTATACAATATCACAAGTGCATCTGCACCTTACAATTGGATTCATCTCCTTGAGCCATGTCACAAGCAATCTGAAGTTGATGCAGTTACTGTAATTTTTGTTCCTGTATGTGATATCCAAGTCTGTCTGTGGATAAGTTTACACAGATGAAACTGGTTACAAAGGATTCAGGAGTTTTGTTCAGAAACGCCCCCAGACTCCAGTGTTCATCTCTGAGATGCACTAATGACATGTTCCCATTTCAAATTCAAACTCTTTAATGAACCTTTGGATTCTTATGAATCGAGACAAATTTTTAAACAGCACTGCATCTGAGTTACTCTTCAAAGCACACGTGTAAATTGGCACCAGAAATGATCTCTTCATCAGAATTTTAGAAAGCATCTATACTATTACATTAACTAAATACACAAAGGGGCAGGCACCTTCTATGTACTGCTTTTCCTGGAAGCCTAAAAGGTCATGATCAAAAAGGCTCATTTGCAACTGGAATTAAGCATTTTATTTACAAAAGAGAAGCAAGCTATGTCACGCTCTGCAACTCAAAGAAACACGGTACACACTGTTTCATTACCACAGCACTAGCAACGGCATCTTCAATCACTGTTCCCTGTACTACTTTCTGTTTTAGGCACTACAAGGTTCCATATCAAACCCAAACTGAGGAAACAAAACTACTGTAGTCCACTAGCACATACTTTAAAGCTGTGTCCTACTTCGTTGAAAATAAATTTATGACCTAAACATTAGAACTAAAAATAAAAATGCAGCTGAAGCAATCACAGTCTCTTTCAGTCCATGCAGACAGTGTGAAGTAGAGCAGTAAATTGCTGCAAGAAGACAGAACAGCTCTTAAAACTTGCCCAGCTTCTACTCTGACAAAAGGGATCACTCAGGACCTCAGCGTGCTGGTGCTCTCGTCGTTTAATTGACGGACTAATAAATTCACTGCTGGCTCACTCTTTATTTGTCTCTTCTCTTGAGAAAGCCCCAAAACACCCGTGGTTTACATTAGGACTGACTACTATTTAGCAGTAGTGCTGCGAGAGCGGTGCCTGTCACCAAAGCCAGGCGGAACTGGGGGCAGCGTCGGCAGGTGCCCCGTGTCCGGCCGGCACTGCGGTCACCCACCAACCTCTGACAAGTTTCGGCGTTTCTAATGCGCGGTTGGCAGCGCTTTTCCTTCCTCTGCCACGGCCGTGCGGTGGGGCCGAGGGACCCACAGCTGGGACGGCTGAATAAACCTTTCAAAGGCTTTTG